ATCGTGAATTAAATTTGTTTTAAAAATTGCATTTTTAAGTTTGAATACAGTTTTCTGTGTAATTTTCATCAATTTTCATGGCTTATTTCAGGTCTGTTCTCTAAACACCGCGCTGCTTCGCACGCGCAGCCTGTAGGACAGCGCTGACCAGTTAACATGACCGCCAAAATGAAAAGCAGGACTTTCCGTGTTGCTCACACTACACAGACGCAGTATGTGTGAATCAGGCCTTAGACTGTCATTTTAGGTATTGAGTGACATGGAAAGTCCCATTTCCCCCAGTAATTTTTGAACTTCTAGCCTTAATACAGACCTAAAAATTGGTGCTCTAAAAATGCGAATATTTCCATTGTGGTCCTCTATTTGTTTTGCCATTTTGGTTTTATTCATTTATTTATTTTTGAATAATATATATAATTTGAGAACACTGTATTGTGTGAAAGTTTCACGATGAATGAATAGAAATTACCCAAATAAAATATTATAATAAATATTACATGGATGTTTTTTAAACGTTTTTTGAGATATAAGGTTTTGTTCTGACAGCAACAGTGTACTAATTTGAAAATCTGCATTATGAGTAATTTAGCAGTCTTTCTATGAGAGCTTCAGATTTTTGCAATTAAATAAACAATCACTGGTTACGTTTCCACCGGTTTGGCCTCCAGCAGCGCTGACTGCACCAGTAGTGATATTATTGCTACAATAGTCGTGTTTTCTGAAGATACGTTCTGTCTTATGTGTGTATATATATAAAATGCATGCATATATGTAGCCTAAACTCTTAGGAAAGGCAGATAATCATAACAGAAAACTGAAAGAATTATGTGGCCCAGCGTTTAGCATATTTGACATATTTGCTGTTTAATAGACAAAATAAACGATGGAAACTACAGAGAAAACCGAATTAGCCTAGCATTTAGCATGACATCACTGCTAAGCCTGTGTAGCCTGCGTGCTTAAAGTGTTAGCACCCTTAAAATGTCTACACCCCCCCCCCTTGGTAGAGCTGAGTAGAGCTAGTTTAGCGTTGGACTGTGTGTTGTTTCTCCTTGTTGTGTGTTATCGGCTGTGGTGGGCAGACAGTGGGGGGCTCTGATGGTTTTCTTTCTCCCCCCTCCCCCCACAGGCTCATGCCTCGAGAACCAGCCCGAAAACCCGAACGCTCCTCCGGACGCCAGCGACTTAGCGTCGCCAATGTCTCCTCGGGCTAGCAAGAGCCGCATGTCCATGAAGCTCCGCCGCTCGTCCGGATCGGCCAACAAGACCTGACCAGACCCGCCCTGACCTCACCTGACCTTCGTCATGCCACGTACACAATCACTCCAACACACCTGCACTAGCACTTCCCGAGCTTTCCCATCACCTTTGCACTGGACGCACCACTTTCATGGCCACGCCCCCGCCTATGATGTCACAATGGCCATTCACCATGCAGCCAGACTCCGCCCCTCCAGGAACGAGCCAAAGAGATGGAAATCAAAGAGGAAAAGAAACTTTTAAGAAGCCTTTATCAGTACAGATACGAGTTCCTGGACAAGTACAGGTTCTAGAACCAGGTTCTAGAATAAGTACAGATACATGTTCTGGGATAAGTACCAGAAAAACTGATAGCATTTTTTTACTGTTTGTTAAGTACAAGTTCCACCCAGTAAAAGTTGTTGAATGAAAGTGCCAGTTTCCAGGACAAGTACGAGTCTCTGACCCAGTACAGGTTCTAGAGCCAGTTTATGTATAAGTTCCAAACAAGTTCGAGTTCCAGAACAAGGACAAAAATAAGTTCCAGAACAAATTAATAGTATTTTCACTGTTTAAGTTCTGCTACCAGTACCATTTTCAGGACACAAGTTCCAAAAAATTAAAAAACATGAGTGCCAGGAAAAATACAAGCTCCAGAGCAAGTACAGGTTCTAGAGCTATTACAGGTTCCAGGACAGGTGCAAGTGCAAAAACAAGTTCCGAGATAAGTTCCATGAAATTCCATGAACTTATTCTGGCACTTGTATTTGTACTTGTTCTGGAACTTAAGAACTTATGATCAAAAACAAGTACCAGTTTCAAGACAAGTACAAAAACGAGTTCCAGGACAAGTACAGCTTACTTAAGAAGTACAGGCTCTAGAACCAGTACAAGTTCTGGAGTAAGTTTCATAAAGTTCCATGAACTTCAGAACTTATCCTGGAACTTGTACTAGTTCTGCAACTTGTACAAGGATACAGTATAGGCTCTAGATCTAGTACTAGTTCCTGAACAAGTACAAATACGAGTTCCAGGACAAGTTCTAGTTCCTTAAAAAGCACAGGCTCTAGAACCAGTACATGTTCCAGGACAAGTAAGAGTTTCTTAACAAGTACAAGCTCTAGAACCAGTACAAGTTCCAGAACAAGTACAGGCTCTAGATCCTGTACAAGTTCCAGAACAAGTACAGGCTATAGATCCTGGACAAGTTCCAGAAAAGTACAAGTTCCTAAACAAGCACAGGCTCTAGATCCAGTACAAGTTCCAGAACAAGTACAAATGCGAGCTCCGGGATGAAAAGACAGGTGTGCATTTGCACCGTCCACTAAGTACAGATTGGAGAGTGAGTCCGAGTCTGAGTCCGAGTGCGAGCAGGCAGCAGTGCGTCTACGCTGTGTGCTGATTGGACGCTGTTCTAAAGTGGAGGCTGCTGTTACTCTCCTGTAAAAGTGCCAGTGGTTCTGAAGTGAGGAGGGTCCACAGGTTCTCTGAGGCTCCGTGTGTTTTGGTTACTGCTCTGGGATCTTCGAGGCGTTTTGTATCTGTACAGACGAGGAAAGAAGCCTTCTCTGTAAGCCGGTCGCTAAACAGAGAGGGCTGGACAGGTCAAGCGGCGATGTAGACGTGCGCTGAACCACTCAAACACTTCCTGCTGTTACTTTAATGCTGTCTGGGTTTCTTTTTTAACACTACGTGATGTTTTTATTGGATTTTGACAGACGACACTACTGTTTTCTTTTCTTTATCACTTTCTTTAAAGTGTAAAATCAGTTTTCACCTGATTCAGAATGTCATTGGTCTTTTTTTTCTTGGGTTGATATATTCTGTTATACAGAACCACCTTGTTTTTTCACTCCTAATGATCATACGTGTGTGTATATATATATAAATATGAAATATATACATATTTAAAGTATGTGTATAGTGTATGAACAGTATCTGGTCTGTGTACATATTTAACAGTATTTAAATCAGCCAAAAAAGAGCAAAAAGCAAACTTTTGAAACGAACCTCAAGCCACTTAGAACAAACGCTGATGCGTCGTCCATTTCTCTGTCCACTCTGGTCACCGTTCGACAAGGCGGAGCTTCAGTGGAAATCTGACGGTTATCGTGTGTGTGTGTGAAAAAGTGTTTGGGTTTAATACAGTAGGTTCTATACTGTAAAGGGACTTCAGGATCAGATTTTTAGATGTAGAGCTTCAGCAATGTGATAAGCTTATGATTTAAAGGGCAATTCCACCCGTTTTTCAAAATTCAGTATAAATTCAGCATCAATTCAGCATGATTGAGTGTGTGAGGTGTAAACAGAGAGATTCAGAGTGGTTTGGTGTGAAATGGTTCAGATGTCTTTACAGTGGTGGTGATAGGAACCAGGGGTCGCCATGACTACAACACAAATATAGACATTTTATTTACTATCCAGAACCACCAGTGAACCTACACGAGTCTTCTGAGTTTATATGATGGGAAATCTGAAATAATAGGTTTCCCTTGGGGACTGTTTTGCCTCATAGCGCTTGTACCCCTCTACATTAAACAGGTTTGTAATCCATAACCGTCTCATAAAAAGCAGCAGTCAGCTTTTATAGGTGGACGTCTGGTTCCCATCACCACCACTGTAGATTTTTTGGTGAACGGTTCCTTTAAAAATACACCAAAGGGAGCCTTTCTCAGTACTGTAATCATTAAAGGGGAATTCCGCCAAATTTTCTAAATTCCCGACAGTGGTGGTGATAGGAACCAGGGGTCGTCATGACTACAACACACATATAGACGTTTTATTTACTATCCGGAACCACCATTTTAATAGATAAAAAAAAATCAACATGTATATAAATAAATTTAAGGCCAAAATCTTCTCAAAACTATCATAAAACAGTGTCTCAGTCATCAGGCAGTGAATTCATAACCATTTCATGTAGTAACTTTCTGTGAGGGAGCTTTTAGAGGTGGACGTCTGGTTCCTATCACCACCACTGTGAACAGTTCTGACTCAGTAAGTTTCTCTTGAACAGAGCGTTTCACACCAAACCACTCTGAACCGCTCTGATTACATCTTAACCACTTAATTATGCAGAAATTTTGAAAAATGGGTGGGGTATCCCTTTTATGATGAAGCCCAAGAGTAAGAGTTTAGCTGAAAGAAAGAGGTCAGTTCAAGGTTTCTCCTTTTTAGAGAGCATCTAGAGTGAAATAGAGCACTTGTTAAAGCGCAGACGTTCTGTGTCTTGATTTTCAGGGTGATTTTTTGAGAAATGGTCACTGAAGGTCAGTCCCGGGAGGTGGATCGGAGTGTGATGTTGCGAGTGGACGCGAAAGAGAAATTTGAATGTTACTGCTGACCAAATGCTGCATGACGCCAGTACTAACCGCATGTGTTACGCAACCACACAACACGCACACAGGTGTATGTACACAAACCCATCATATTGTCATACTGTAGTATCTATACATTTGTAATGGACATCAAAGGAGGATGTGGAAAATTAAAGTGTATTCTTACCACACAGCTCGACCAGCCTGCTTCCTCATTTCCATTCAAAAACACAAACCACAAGCGGATACTTCAGCGTTCAGTTTTATTCACCTTTGGATTGGGACAGCTGCAAACGTGTGGGATACATATGAAAATATAATAATATTACACGTCACATAAAAGCCTCTCCTTTATTATTTCATGATCTGTGTTTTTGTTGTCGTACGTTTTCTTTTCGTAGGCAGGAATAAAGCACACGGGCCAGTAAACAAACAAAAACAAAGCACGGTTACATTTATTTACACCGAATAGTTGATGAACCCGGATTGGGAATAAAGTTTTATACCAGTTACTGCATCTCAGATAAACAAGAAAATACTGATTATAATATGAGCAGAACACAAACACTTCATACAGCGTTAATGAGTGTGAATGTATGGCTGAGTCCCAATTCAATCCCTGTAGTGCGCAGAGGGCCTCCAGCTTCCAGTCCAGGATTTTGGAATTACCAGTAATAATAATCTTTATTATTACATCATTTTTCATTTTAGTCAAGTGATTTACAAATGGGCATAAGCACAACATCAGGAAGAAGCTCTAAATGGGAATTATATTTGCAAACTGCAGGAGAAAATGAGCCGCAGTGCTTCTAGCCATATTGTCAGTGTCAGAACCAAACCTTGTTGATTTTAATTTTTAACTCTGTTTAAAAATATGAGCTGCTCTTTGCATCATATTGAAGTTTTAGGACGACCGGACCAACGGAAATGGTCCAAAATGACTTGGAAAAAAATATTTTTGCATTAACCTGCATTGAAAGTTAAGTCAGTTTTCTGCTTCTCCTGTAAAGTTGCTTTTTTGGAGATGGACGCAGCTGCGTGGTGGTCTTTTAATCTGGTTTTAGTCAAGCTTGCTCTCCTGAACTTTCTGGAATGATCTTCCACCAACCGAGCTGTAAGAGATCCTACAGCAGGGAGTGCACAACTCTGGTCCTGAAGGGCCAGTGTCCAGCACAGTTTGGTGATTTACCTATTCAAACACACCTGATTACACTTAAATGCCAGGTTTAGTGGGTGTGTTTGAGTGAACTGGCAACCTCTGAATTGGCTAGATGCTGGCCCACCAGGACCCCTGTCTTAGAGGTGTGCACTAAGCCTGCCTGTGCTGAGCGGAGTGGACTAGATGGGCTCCAACAGCCACTAAGTGTCATCAGCAAGACCTTTAACTGTTAGCTGAACTACTAGTCTTTCCTACCAGCGATCACAAAACCCAGGACACTGGACTCGCGGACTGGATTCAGAGGCCTCTTGCTGTGTGCACTATGTAGGGAGCAGGGAGTGTGAATTGAGACTCGGCCCACACGTGTCTAAACTGGGTATACAAGTGTCTCTCTGGATGTATCAGCACACCGGTCTAGGGGGCACGTGCATCATGGCAGCGCGCGCGCTCTCAGCAGTGTGGCACCTGCTCAGGTGCGCGCTCAGTCCGTGCGCGCTGTAGAGGGAGGGACAGAACTCCACCCCGCCTCCGATCCCCCCTACACTCACACCAACAGCCCCCATACCCACACCTACATGCGCGCTCCCGGGCCACAACGCGCGCTCTTCTCCTCCTGCTGCTCCTCCTGCGCCTGCGCGCGCGTGTCCCCGGCACAGTCCGCACGTGAACCTTCCCTGCTCGGTCTCGTGCACGGAGTGGGGGGCGGCGGTGATGGTGGAGGCGGTGGTGGTGGTCAGGTGCTTCCTCAGGTGCGCGTGCGTGCGGAACGTCCGGCTGCAGTAGCGGCACGCGCGCGCGCCCCCTTCGCCGGCGTCGTCTTCCTCTTCTGGTCCCGCGTGCTTTCCTCGCCCTCCTGCTGCTCGCGTTCTCCTTCCCTTCCTCCTTGTTGTCCTTGCTGTCCGCGTGCTTGATGCTCATGCTGATGTTGTTGTTGTTGTGGTCCGCGTGCCCCTGCCCGTGCTGCTGCTGCTGCTGCTGCTGCTGCTGCTCGCGCGGTCTGTGCCACCTGCGGTGCGATGCCAGGTTGGCGGGGCAGCTGAACACCTTGGCGCACTCGGGACACCGGTACTCCACGCGCACGATGCGCGAGCACCTGTGCTGCGCGAGCGCGAACGGGTCCGCGTACTCTTCCTTGCACAGCTGGCAGATGAACTCGCGCAGGGGGCGCGCGCCTCCAGAGCCGGATCCGGACGCGCCGGAGCCAGAGGTGCCCCCGGCGTGCGCGCGCCCGGGCGCGGGACTCCTCTCCTTCTCCCTGCGGAGGATCGCGAGCCCCAGAACGGGCGAAGTGGACTCTTCGTCCTCCGCGCTCAGATGCTGCTGATGTTTGCGCGCGACCCTCGCCGGCTTCTTGCGGCTCCGCGCGCTCTGCGCGTGGGCGTTGTGGGCGCTGTGGGCGCTGTGGGCGCGCACCGCCGACTCCGCGTGACCCTGCTGCTGCTGCAACAGCAGCGCGCGCGCCACGGAGCTGGCGCTGAGCGGGAACGACTCGGCCACAGCTGGGGAGCGCGCGGGAAAGAGCTGCTGCTGGAGATGATGATGATGATGATGATGATGAAGGTTATGATGGGGGTGATGCTGTGGCTCCTCGCGAGGATGAAGATCAGGCTGCGGCTGCTGCTGTGGCGTCGCGCACCGGCGGGCTGTCGTCTGCAGCGCGCGCTGTTATAGTTGGGGTCATCGCGCTGATGGTGGTGCTGGTGGTCGGCTGCTCGAGCTCGTTGTGCTCGTCCTCGCGGGCTCGGTACACGGCCCCGTACGGCGCGCGCCTGCTCCTCTTCACCAGGAAGCCGCGCGGCATCTCGAAGTCCGCGCGCGCAGGAGGAGGATGAGGGTGCTGATGCTGATGCTGATGCTCCGTCCGCGCGCTTCTTGTGTGCGTTTCATCCTGCCGGGTTTGAAGCTTTTATCCACAGCCCTCGGCCAATCAGCGCTCAGAGCGGAGTGGGCGGGGCTACGCTAATGAACACATCCGGGTAATGAAGCCGTAATGAGTGGGTTTGGGTTTCAACACTGCAGAACTCACCACGAACACATTTCACACCAACTCTGCTGTTACACTCAGAACACAGGTTCTTTAAGGGTTCTTTAGTAAAGGAATGGTTCTGTTTAGGACCAGTCCCTGCTTAACACGGTGAAAAGGATCTTCAGATAGAGAATGTGTTGTAGATGGTTCTCTATAGCACCAAAAAGGGTTTCTGATATTGCTACAAGCTTGACATCGTAACAGTAGAAGAACCCTTTATGGTGCTATATACACTAAAAAGGTTCTTTAGTAAAGACAGTGGTTCTATTTGCAACAATGAGTTCTGTTTAGAACCGTTTCATGCTTAAATGGTTCTTTGCAAGGTGAAATGGATCTTCAGACAGAGATGGTGTTGTATATGCTTCTATATATAACCTTTTTGAAAATGGTTCTCTACAGCACCAAAATGGTTCTGATATTGTTACAAGGTTGACATTGAAACAGTAGAAGAACACTTTATGTTGCTATACACAAAAAGATGGTTCTTCGAGTGGTTCTATTTGCAGCTGTTAGTTCTATATAGTGAAACGCTCTGCATGGTGAAATGGATCTTCAGACTGATGGAGAACGTGCTGTATATATGGTTCTTTAAAGCACCATAAAGTGTGTGCTGTTGTGTACAATAACAAGCTTGTAATAACAATACAACAGTGCCTTTTGGTTCTGTACAGAACCACAAACAACACACTCTCCATCAGTCTGGAGAACGATTTCACCATGTGCAGAACCATTTAAGCACGAAATGGTTCTATATAGAACTTATATTACTATATAGAACTTATATTAGTAAATGGTGCTCATGCTTATGCTGAGACTCCCAATAACTGTCACTTAGTAAAATATGAAAATAATTATTTTAGTAAACATATAAAATAACCGCCTGTATAAATGAGATGTTTTGAAACATTTTAAACATATGTAGAATACAATAACAATATTAATGTATATTTACTAAAATAATCAGATACATTGATTAATGTAACATTTACTGATCATTTAACAAAACAAACAAATTGCTGTCTTTAAATATAATTAATATTATTTACAAAGTTTATTGGTAGTAATAATTAATAAATAATAAATATTTAAGTATTTATTGAAGTGTAATAATTTATTATGAGGTACAAATTATTTGATTTGTGAAAAAAGCAATGATTTGAATATTTTAAAAATACAAATAAATACAAACATTTATTTATTTTTATTTTATTTTTTAGTTATTTATTAGACGTGTTCACGTTGACACAATATCTATTGAAATGTAGAATAATTGGGTACGAAGGACGGATTAATCAGTTTGTGACTATTATTAAATAAAAATGATCACTTTTTAATGTGGTCGTTTTATCTATTTATGACAAAATAATCTGAATCAACGAATCAATGATGAAGAATGAAATATTCCTGTTTTTATGAGTCTGTTGGACTCACAGAGCCTCAGCATGTCCGTTTAAATCTGTCTGATCACTGAAGTGACTCTCCATCTGTGAGAATCTGCCTCGATTATCTGCCGCAGCGCAGCTCTTAGAGTCTGGAGCTCAAATATATCACATCATACATCATATATCACATCATATATCACATCATATATTATATCACATCATATATCAGATCATATATTGTATCACATCATATATCAGATCATATATTATATCACATCATATATCAGATCATATATTATATATCACATCATATATTATATCACATCATATATCACATCATATATTATATCACATCATATATTATATCACATCGTATATCACATCTATATATCACATCATATATTTTATGACAGTCCAGCACTGTGTTTGTCTGATTCTCTTAACTTTGGGTTATAAATCTTAGTTTATAACTAAAATAGTTCACACATACATGAAGGAGAGGGCTGGCAAAGGGGGGGTGGGGGAGGGTGGGAAGGTGTAGGGGGCACGGGGGAGGGGGGGCAAGCTGATCCTCTTTCCCACCCCCCCTCCTCCTCCTCCGTGTGTGAGCTGTTTTATGCCTCCTTTATCGCTCGGATAAGATCAGCTTTATTCCTTCGTCTGCAGATGAGCGTCAGAGTGGACCGGAGTGGACGCTGCTCATTCATTTATCTCTTCATTTATTCATTTATCTCGGTGAGCTGTTCATTTTCATTTATATAGAAGCCATCAGGGACGAATGTATACAGCTCAGATTCACAGAAATCATAATCCAGATCAGTGGAGCCTCAGATCTGTGTTTCAGTACAGCAGAAATACAGAGAGTCTTATATTCACGTTAATACACACTGACCGGCCACTCACTGTCCATTTTATCAGCTCCACTGACCATGTAGTTTCACTCTGTAGTTCTACAATTACAGACTGTAGTCCATCTGTTTCTCTGATACTTTGTTAGCCCCCTTTTACCCTGTTCTTCAGTGGTCAGGACCCCCATGGACCCTCACAGAGCAGGTACTATTTGGGTGGTGGGTCATTCTCAGCACTGCAGTAACACTGACGTGGTGGTGGTGTGTTAGTGTGTGTTGCGCTGGTCTGAGTGGATCAGACACAGTAGTGCTGCTGGAGTTTTTAAACACCTCAGTGTCGCTGCTGGACTGAGAATAGTCCACCAACCAAAAATATCCAGCCAACTGCGTCCTGTGAGCAGCGTCCTGTGACCACTGATGAAGGACTAGAGGATGACCAACACAAACTGTGCAGCAGCAGATGAGCTATCGTCTCTGACTTTACATCTACAAGGTGGACTGACAAGGTAGGAGTGTCTAATAGAGTGGACAGTGAGTGCAATGCAATATAACAGATTACTATATAACACAATGCAGGATGATACAGAATGATAAACAATGTAATATGATACAAATATGGTATAATATTTATAATTATTATGTAATAAAAATATGATACATTTAATTACAAAATAATAGGTATTTTAGCATGTAGGTGGGGGCCGTGAGTAGGATGGTGTGTAGGGGCCCCTGTTGTCCAGAAAAGGCTCCCGATTAAGATGTAATACATAATGATCCATTATAATACAATATCATTATAAAACAATATGCATTATGATACACTATTATAAAATATGGCACAATATGATGCATTACTATACACTATAATATAAATAATATGATACATTATGATAACATACAATATTATACAGCCCCATTTCCAAGAAAGTTGGGATGCTGTGCAACGTAAATAAAAACAAAATGCAATGATGTGCAAATCATTTACACCCTATATTTCATTGAAAATAGTTCAAAGACAACATATCAAACTGAGGATTTTTTTTTTTTTTTAATATTTGCCCATTTTGAATTTGATGCCAACAACACGTTCCAAAAAAGTTGGGACAGGTGCAACAAAAGGCTGGTAAAGTTGTGTGAAGCTAAAAAAACAGCTGGTGGTTAATTGGCAACAGGTCAGTAACATGATTGGGTATAAAGAGCATCTCAGAGAGGCGGAGTCTTTCAGAAGTAAAGATGAGGAGGGGTTCACCACTCTGTAAAAGACTGCACCATCAAATAGAGCAACAATTCAAGAATAACGTTTCTCAACATAAAAGAGCAAAAATAGCGTTTCATCATCTACGGTACAAAATATCATTAAAGACTCAGAGAATCTGGAGAAATCTCTGTATGTAAGGGTCAAGGCCAAAAACCAGTATTTGCTGGTCGTGATCTTTGGGCCCTCAGGCAGCACTGCATTAAAAACAGACATGATTCTGTAGTGGAAATCACTGCATGGGCTCAGAAACACTTCTGAAAACCACTGTCTGTGAAAACAGTTCATCACTGCATCCACAAATGCAAGTTAAAACTCTAAAACACAAAGAAGAATCCAAATATAAATAGGATCCAGAAATGCTGCCGCCTTCTCTGGGCCCGAGCTCATTTAAAATGGACTGAGGCGAAGTGGAAAAGTGTCCTGTTTTCCAACAAGCGAAAATTTTAAATTCTTTGTGGAAATCATGGTCACTGTGTCCTTCCCGGCTAAAAAGGAGAGGGACCACTCGACTTGTTTTCAGTGCACAGTTCAGAAGCCAGTATCCGTGATGGTATAGGGGGGTATTAGTGTACATAGCATGGGTGACGTGCACATCTGTGAAGGCACCATTAATGCTGAACGATATATACATGTTTTAGCAACATATGCTGCCATCCAGACGACGTCTTTTTCAGGGAAGGCCTTGATTATTTCAGCAAGACGATGTAAAACCACATTCTGCATGTATTACAGCAGCATTGCTCCGTAGTAAAAGAGTCCAGGTGCTAAACTGACCTGTCTGCAGTCCAGACCTCTCGAAAAATACGACAAAGGAGACTCTGAACTGATCAGCAGCTGAAATCCTGTATCAAACAAGAACAGGAAAACATTTCACTTTCTAAACTACAGCAGCGTCTCCTCAGTTCACAAACACTTACAGAGTGCTGTTAAAGAAGGTGGTGAAACACAGTGGTAAACAGGCCCCCGTCCCAACTTTTTTGGAACATGTTGCTGGCAAATTTGTGTTTCAACATCTGATATGTTGTCTTTGTTACTAATTTCAATTTAATACAGGGTTTAAATGATTTGTGCATCATTGCTTTCTGTTTTTATTTACATTTCGAACAGCGTCCAAACATTTTTTGGAAATGGGGTTATACATTATCATACGATATGATACATTACGATAGACTCTGGTAAAATACAATACAATAGGATGCATTATGATACATTATTAGTAAATGTGATACAGTATGAAACATCACTATACAACATGATAAAACATGATGCAATGATATATTATGATAA